TGTGTGGCCAGCTCAGCCCACCAGGGGGCGGGGCTGGCTGGCATGTGGTGCTGGGGGATTGAACCGCGGTCCCTGTGCTTTGCCAAGCTTGTTCCAAGCAGGCGCTTTAGACCACTGAGCCATCTCACCATCCCTCTCTCCTTGTTTATTCAAAGGAGCTCTTTACATACGGCAGACAGTGATCTTTTGTTTGCTGTGAGCACTGTGAAATGGAGATCTGGAGGCAGATGGGAACCCCAGAGACCTTCCGAGTGGTTGGGGACCGGCTCTTACCTGGCTCAGATCCTCTGGATTCACAAAGATATTCTCTGCTGTCAGATTTCCATGAACATACTCATTCTCGTGCAGGAATTCCAGGGCATCCAGCTGGGGAGAGGCAAGCATGGGTCTCTGAGTGGCATCTTCTGTCAAAAGCATTACCATGTGCTCTCGTTCACCTTATCCACCAGATCTAGCACCATGAAACCTCTGGTCCTGCCCCAAAGTCAAATTACCACAAAAGGATATCGGATTCAGGGATACGTGCAGTCAGGACAGTGCAATTAAGGACATTCATGAAAGACGACTTCCAGGACTACTTCAGAAAGTGCAAAGAACAATGGGATAAGTGTGTTTGAGGTAAACAGGAACAGCCTGAGGTAGATTAATGGCAAAGTGTCTTTTGCTGTTTCTTTTTAAAAAAAATTATTCATTGTTCTTTTCTAATTTTTGTTTCATCAAGTAATATCTGGCTTTCCATCTACCTCCTTTCTCCTGATGGCAACTCAGCAGGATAAGAAGGGGCTGCCTAAAGCTCCTCTGCCTAAGTAACGAGCACTCCCGTACTACACCCACGCTCTCTGCACTCCTAGAGAGAACAGCTTAGCTAAGCAACCTGCACTTTCTAGCTTCTCCACTCAGCTCCAGGCTCTGACACTGAGCTTGACAAATGTTCCCAAGCCCATCTTGACCCCAGGGCCTAACTGACCCTCAGTCTACTCACTCCACTTTACCATCTCTGCAACCTCTGAGCCTCTCCCACGGGAACGCTGCAGGCCTCCGGCCTCACCTGCCCCTCTGCTCCTCCTTCCACCTCCTGGCTCCCACACCTCAGGTCAGAGCCCCAGCCCCAGCTCCCATGGGGACCCCGCAGGCCTCCGGCCTCACCTGCCCTTCCTCTCCTCTTCCC